CATATGAACGTCTTCTGCATCCTTTCTGTTCAGCGGGAGAATGCTGTTTGTTTGAGAAAGGAATAAGTATGGTTCGTCAGTCAGACGTGATCAACTTATACGTTGTGGAGAGACATGTTATCGGTCTATAATTTTTCGGGTCGTCTGTTTCAGTTGTTTTTGGTATGGTGTAATACCTTCAGTAATCCATTCGGGATTTTATTGGGATTATTTACAACCGTTGATAATGTTTTTGCAAGAATTTCATGGGTAGATATGAGATGATACAGTCAGAAATTGGGCAACTTGTCACTTCCTGGGGATTTCCATGGAGTATTTTGGGGATTTCGTTAGAGCTTGCCTAACATCATCTGTGGATATATTTTCCCATTCTTTCAGAGGTGTATCCAGCAGTCGTTCTTCTTCGCCGTATCCATTCTGCATTTGGGTTATATTCCTTTGGGCTGCTCCAGATATTTTCCCAAAATGTCTGTACATTATCAATCGATGGTGGCCTTTCGACATGTATAGGTGTTTTTCCAATTTCCCTGTAAAATTTCTTAAGATCTGTTCGGAATATTTTATTTTGGCGATAGAACCTACAACGTTTTTCATATCGTCTTGTTCTCTGTGCCTTTAGCTGAAGTTTCTGCTTCAGCATTTCCTTGATTGATGGAATATCAATTAGGGATTTAATGTTATATTTCAGCTTGATCTTTTTAAATTTACGTGTGGAAATATTAGGGTTTCTGGTGAGCTCATCTAATATAGAAAGCTCACATCTGATTTGTTTTATTTCTCGAATATTTTTTGGTTTTCCAAGGTGGTTCTCTGTTAATTTTATTTATTGTCTTGACTCCGAGCTTCCGATTCGCGGCTAAAGCTGTTGCGTATATGACGTTGTTAACTTCTGTGATGTTTCCCGGTGGTTTATCTGTTAACAGTGTTTCCAGAGCAGCATTGTATATTTTCACGATGTGCTTGGTGGAATTCGTCATATGGATTTTCGGGAGCTGGTCTCTGTCTGACAATTGTATGAAAGTTACTCTGCTGAGTACTTGGATGACGTCATTTTCCTTCGGTGATTTCAGCTTCGTGGTTTTCAAGGAATTCTAACTTATTGTCACTGAAGATGACTCCAGGTACAGTTTCTGGAGAACTGCAGGTTGTCTTTAAGGTAGAGTCTTGGGTTTCATTTCCTGGGAGATTATTTCGTATTTCATTCGCTTTAGCGTCCACCTCATCCTCTGTTGCATTCCTCATTTCTACATTCGTCTCAATAGAGTTTGAGTGATGGGTCATAGTATTTTGTCTTATATCTAATTTTATCTTATCTATTTTTGCCTTTGAGAGTCTTTTGTTTCGCATGATGTCCCTATGGACATTGGCAAGCATGTTTGGATTGAGGTTAGGTCTTATATCATTTCCCACCGTACTTCTCCATATTTGGTATGTTTGATTGGTGGTGTTCTTTGCTGGGTTTTCGAGTGCAGTGAAGAAGGATGTGTGACTTGTCGATACTCTTCGCGGCTCCATTTCGTTCGTTTACTTTTTATTAGTCGATTTGGTATTGAGTCACTTGGTCCAAGGTTGGCAATAATCCGGGTTTTGGTGACCAAGTGTCTTTTCGTGTGGAAGAGTTTGTTCCAGTGGCAGACTTTTCGTCCTCAGACTGGTTCCTCTCTGAGGGACGCGACCCTTGTTGTCCCGGTTGATGGCCGATCCGGTATGAAATATTATTCGTATTCATTGAAATTGGTAGAGATGAGTTTTAACCTTGACCGCCAAGGGGTAATTATGTTCAGGTTACCAGCTATATAGGACGAGTCTCGAAGAAGATCCAAGACACACCCAAACAATGAGATTGTGGATTTATTAATATAACGAAGGTAGAATAGTTCATAAGATTGTATGGTATTCAGTGGGGTAGACTATACTAAGTTTTAACTTAGTATAAGTCGGATGACCACTCCAAGGGGGATAAATAGATTTTAGTATATAGACTTAAAAAAAAAATACAATATGATCCCTTTCAATGCAGATACATACACAAATAAATATATACATATATATATATATATATATATATATATATATATATATATATATATATATATATATATATATATATATATATATATAGAGAGAGACAGATATTAGTAAACATGTACACATATACGCAACGACAAATAGATATGGGATGCCTATTTATAAGAAAACGAATAAATAAATAAATAAATAAAAGTGAAAAATGGATACGGATGTCCTTTTAAATCACGGGGGAATATAAATATAAGTTACAAAAAAAAAAAAAGGCAAAAAAAAGGAACTGAAAAAGGAAAGAATTAATTTGAGTCAAAAGAATTTACAATCATAGCAAACTTATTAAAGTATCATTCAAAGATGCTACATTTACCATTTCTTACAATAAAAAAGCATTGCAAAAGTGACTTTCCACAAATGTTCTTATTGTTAAAGAATAATGATAATAATAAAAATGATGATGTTTTTCAAACGAAATATTTTAGTTTTTGAAAAGTATATAATTTGTTTTTCATCTTAATGCAAGATATTTGTTATCCATTATGAATTCGTATTTGACCAGTTTTGTTTTCTTCGACGAAACATTACTTAATTTATGCATGAAATGCCATTATGAATACAAACCAATCACAAACCGTCTCATCGAAATGAAACTGTTAACATTCGAGTATAATCATAGTATATCACTTTCTTGTTCGTACATACATAATGACCCCTTATTTCTAATATTTTATGTCGATACTTCTTCCCAAACTCGAAAGTAACGAGAAAAATATAATAATGAGCAATCTGAAATTCCACTACTCATAAGTCGTACTAATTGCAATTACATGTAATGTGGTGTCAGATTCTTGTCACCTTTTGTTAAGCCCAACAGAAAAGGTTTTCACTTCTTTGAATGTAATAATGTCTACTGGTCCTGAAGCTTAATGCAATACAGAACAATTAGAAACAAGCTTACGCGGACTTGAGAGGATTTTAACATTACCCATGAATATTTTACGGCAGATATTTAGCCAACACTTCAATATACACATCTATGCTATTATACATTAAAATCAATTATTTAACTACATCACAATTCATTTGATTTTACTTTATATCTGCCAATCATTTTCCAAATAGTAAATTATTACAAAACCGAAACATTAACTTGAAACTAGAGTAATGTTCGTAAATAACTTCCTCAAAGGTAAGCCTTGATATTGATGCCATACAGGGCGCCCAAAATCATTCACAAATATCTAAACTGTCAGCAACAGCTTTCTCAAATCAGTGTTTGAAATGGCTTTGAACGAATGAACAATATAGGTCTTAGCAAAGGACAATTCTTATTCGAATTTTGAAAACTGGTGCTAAAAGAAACAACAGAAAATAATCACAGCTCAAATAAATAAAAAATACCACAAATGCACACCACAATTTCAACAGCAGCAACATCTTAACTGGATAGGGATATAATCCAAATGTTGGCATGTCATACTACATTTTTAAAAGCACTGTCTCATCAGTAATTGAAGACCAATAATATTTACAAGATTTTAGAAACCTATTTTCATGAAAAGATTTCATAATAGAGAGATTTTGTAAATTTCAACTAAAAGTAGCACCGGCTGTTCGGTGTATGAATGCCGAATATTTCTTTATACGAATGTTATTATTATTTTCTAATAATAATTATTTTTCTTATAAATATTAATTTTATAATTGCTTTGATCTCAATTCAAATGTCATCATCATTCTTTCATCATTAATTTATAAATCATTAATATCTATAATATATCAGAAGTTGTTTTTTTTATGTCTTTTGGATAGTAAACTACTGTTGTTCTTTACATTTCTCTTTAATATGAATATAACGTTTTCATTGAAGATTGAAAATTTTGACCCTGACATGATATATGTTTGCATGAAGTTCATAAAACGTAGTGCTGCAGTGATGCAGATTTAAAATGTCTACACTGATCTCCTTTTGAAAATTTTGCAACGATACCCGTATGATGATGGATGATTGGCCATTAATATCCATTACCAGTTCAGGGAAACCGAAGTGAAATGTCCGTTTGATGGCGGTTATGATTTCGATATCACGTTACCAAGCGGCGAGACGGTCTGCTCCAGTACCATCATGCCGTTGCGTTTTGAACTTTCTTGCGTTCAAGAAGAGGGCCTTCTCATCCGTCTTCGCAACAAGGGCTGCCGGCAATTAGCATTGGAACCTAAGAATAAAAAACCGCTGAATTTGTTTGCGGCCAAATGGAAAGTAGAGGGTAATGACTATGTCATCGTTCGCAACAGTGATAACCACCATATTCTCATGCGGGTGGAGTATGAATAAAAACAAAATAATTAAAAGATCTATTTTCTTCCTGGACAAAATTTGCGACAAAAAGACCAGATTGGCCAAAGGCCGAAAAATACATAATATTCAAGATGCGTCGTCATGTGGTGCAAAGCTTATGCAGCGATGAGGATGATGGGTGTCGCAACCCGCATAATTGCAAAATAAAGTTAAAGTCGCATTGTCTTCAGTCGTGCGGCGAATGCAAAAATCAACCGAGACGGCAGCATTCACGGTCTGTTGGCCTGCAGATTCCCTAAGTCCATGCACGGCACCTGGGTGCGAAACGTCCGCAAACCACCAGCAATATCGTTATCCGTAAAACACGGTAAGCGTCCCTGGTGAACCGGATTGGCACTGTATCGATTACTAAAAGGAAACTACTCCCGTCGACGCGTACTCATTAAAGAAATTTGACAACGGATGCTATCCACGGTTTATGTGTATTGAACTCAAAGACATCACCATCCGTGATGAGCTATAGAGTTGGAGACATTGTTCTGTGGCCGGTGAATATCGCACACGGGCTACAAGAACAGGTCTGTAACGACAACCGCCTCGTAAGATACGATTCTAATTTTAAAAGGTGTCATCAACTCAAGGCATCATTCAATGCAGAATCTTATAGTCCGAGACTATGACAAGTCGACTTTCCTGTAAGTTTCCAGCAGGGCTAGAAACATCACTAGCTTTTCGGGACGATACGTACCGACAGGGATGCCTGCTACACGACATCCACTTCAACCCGTACGAGATGGTCCTGATGTTAGAGAATGATGGTGACATATACAAAACGCACGCCCACTATTTCTGCCTGGCTTCAATGAAGGTCATAGATGAGTACGATACAATCGTCACTCAAACAAAGGATCGTATCGATGAGTATCTATGTTGGATGATCATCGATAACAAAGAATTGATTATGCTACCTGTATCGAAGTGTAATCGAGTACACGCCGAGGCGGTAATCAAGCGAATAGAAGAACCGTTAGCTCGACTTCGCCTCTTTAGTAACAATGACTGCGTTGAAGTCGAGAAACGATGGCGCGAAAAGGTTATATCGGCACGAAATAAATATCCATTAATTGAGAAATCCTCTAGCGCCAATCAGATCCGTATTTGACAACCGTCTTATTCTTTATGCATTTTATTTTAGCACTACAATGATAATAATACATGAAGAAATATATTTTTAAAATCTGAATGCATATGTATATATATATATATATATATATATATATATATATATATATATGAATTTGATTATAAATCATGCGTATATACACACACATATACACAAATATATATATGACGTCACACATTATGAAATGGACATAGGAAAACAATTATTTAAAGACATTTTATGTTTATACATTCTTTTTATAGATACAAATATTTAAGTAAATGCTCTGTTTATAATAAACAGTATATACATACATATATATATATAATATATATATATATATATAAATATATATATATATATATATATATATATATATATATAGGATAGTATTAATGAAGTTATTATATTCAAAAAATTATTTATATCTTCAATTAAGATTTGTAAAGAAAATATTTGAAAGTTATTTCAGAAAAAAAAAATCATCTCACTCTCTCTCTCCTCTCTCAATAGGAGTAAATTTTATAAAAATTTATAAAATTTTTAAAAGATTGAAATGAGAGAATATAAACTGTAAAATGAAGGAATTTGAGAATTTTGTCGTTAAATAATTCAATAATTTATTTAAAGTATTAACATTTTGTATTGTCCAAAATAAGACAAATCCTTATTTTTGAGTTATTAGTATTGACAATTCTTTGTATAAAATAAATGCTCTTTATATTGGTTTCTAGGAAAAATCTTAATCGTGAGAAAAATAGTCGTATTATTGGTAATCAAATCCAAAACAGAGAAAAAAATTGTTGTTTCTATCACACAAAATGATGTTGATCAACGAAATATTGAATTAATAACGGTGATGTTGATTATCCTATTATCATCATCATCACATGATTTACAGACCATAATACGCAACGTTCATTTCATCAAAAGTTCTTTCGATGAACTTTAGAAGACTTCATAACGTAATAAAAAATTTGTTATTCAAACTGGGAACGAAGTTAATTTTTCTTTTGTTAGATATTTCAAAAACTTTTACCATTTGCAGATAAATTTATCATGATATAAAGCGAAAAATTATTTTGCGAAAATTAAGCTCTTTTTAATATTGCGAATTATTGCTTTGTCAAAATACAACATTTTGGTAATTTGAAATCTAATTACCTTTAACATAAATTATTATTTGCATAATTTTTCTTTTAATAAATTAACAAAAAATCAATTCGTCATATAATTATTAAATGTTTATGAGGATCATTGATAATGAAGATGAATACTTTGCATTGTCTTCAAAGCGATCGACAATTTCAAATAATTTACATCAACTAACAGTACAGCTTATATAATAAATGTTAATACTAATAATTATTGAAAAGTGTTTAATTTTTGAATTACATGCGTTATTGACAAAACACAAACAAAATTATGAATTTTTAAAGGACCCCAAATCCAGATCTTTAACTTTTTTTTTATAAATTATTAACAGAACGGTCAAAGAAAACTACTACGAAAAATTAATATATATTTAATACATATATTTCATGCGCATGCTGATGGGTATTTTTCTTCATTTTTTCGTTAAGTTCTTGTTATATAACTTCTGCATATTTTGTTCAGGAAAAGGAAGCATTATTTAAAAGGTTATAAATATAAAAAGCATGACCATTTCCTTTTACTTAAATATTTCTGTTTGTGAAATCAAGAAAAATGAAATAAATAAAATCATTTAAAAAAAAAAGTTGTCTGTTTCATATTAAATAGTATTAAGTAGTATTAAAAGCAAAAAAAAGATTTATACAGCATTGCATTCAATTTATCTTTTGAATATCGGAATGAAACTATGAATCTGGTCTATATATTTTCTTGTATATTTTTGTGCTACCTGTTATGGAAATATTTGGAAATCCTAAAGAATTAATAGGAAAAAGGGCAAAACAATAAACAAATATTCTAGAGGATTTAAATATATTTCATAAGGTTTAAGGATGGCTGGAAAATATTAAGCTGTTCAAATATTATTTCGCTTTTAAACAATCATTTGCATATGTCATTTGTGTAAACATCGCTCGTCAACAATATATAAAAATGTTTTTCATTGCACTAATTTTACGTATAATTACTATTTAACGAATTATCTTACAACGTTGCTTATAGTTTTAAAAAATCGGGGAATGAAATAAAAGTAAAAAAACAACTTTCATTTTGACATTTAAACATTCGACCAAATATTTATCGTTAATAAAAGATTGAATTATTTATTAATAACTATATATTTTATCGTTTTATATAACGTTTTGGTGAAAATTATTAAACAAAAAAAAGTAGGAGGGAGAGGGAAAAAGAAAGAAACAAAAAAAAAAAAATAAATAAAAAATTTAATAAAAAAAAGAAGGGATATATATATATATATATATATATATATATATATATATATATATATATATATATTGTGTGTATTTAGGCATATATATTTTTCATTCATACACGTTTCATTAAATAATATAGACAAGTGTTGTCTATTTATTTTATGTAAATTTTTCATAACGTCTGATAAGTTTAATAACATTATCGTTGAACGAAGAAAAGAAATTCACAATATTGATCATATTTTTTATTTAATACTATCTAAGCTTTCTCAGAGTTTAAGCCATTATCAAAGATGTCATTTTACAACATATTAAGCAATATACGGACTAGACAGTGATGATAGTCTGTGAATGTTTACATAGATGATTTTAAGCAATGATAAAACATGCATATAAGACGCAAGAAGAAAAAATTATCTCATGTCGCATGTCATGACGTCACATATGACCACACAAGAGTGAATTGTAGATTAGTATGGGAAGCCATTGGTATAAACCAATGGCTTCTATTTACCTAGAAATTATAGACATTTAAGAATATTTGTAGAGATGCCATAGTTGATTTTGTTTCGGTTGGGTTTCAACTGTTTGATGTATAATGTATAAAAAATTTTTTTAGTTTTTTTCTATTGTTTTCGACAAAGGAGAAGTATAATTGTGTTTTCGACAAGTACTTTACGGAATTGTTGTGCGGGCTGTTATGTTGTTTTAAATGCCTAAAAAATGTTATAGTTTTCATTAAAATGTAGTAAAAGCGTCGTGAAAGCGAGTTTTGTGGTGTGACCAACATAAATATTATTTAATTCGTTGGGACACACTCTCCCATTCAAAGCAAGAATGAATTTATAAACTATGTTGGTTTGGTTTTTATATATATATATATATATATATATATATATATATATATATTTAATTTGTTGTTGTTTGGAAACTTTTTATATATTAGATAATATTTTTTATTCTTATATATCTATTTTTCTATCCATATCTGTTTTAAACAAAAATTTTATATAATGTTTGGTTATCTGTTCTGCCCATCTATTGAATTTATTTGTCCGTGTATGTTTATATTTTAATAATTGGTTAGAATTTGTTCAATAACACTTTCAAATTGAATATTTCTTGGTTGGTGTATCAAGATGTCATTGTCAATGTATGTGAATGTATGAAAAATCGTCTTTATCAGTGTTAAATGTGTAAAAGATACTTATTGTAATTTTTATTAAATTTTATGTCTGTTTTTATTTTTTTTTTTTTTTAAGGGTTCTTAAAATTTTAGGGCTATTTCCTGTCTCGTCGCCTGATTGTGTTTTTAAAAAAATGTCATCCTTCCCTGAAATTTATGATTCAAATGTAGGAATATGTTGTTTAAGGTTCGAGCAAAATTTAATCTTAACTTTTATTCTTTTAATTTCAATATAAATATAAAATAAATAGAATACCAAGTATTATTTTTACTTCAGGAATTTTATAATTTTGAACTTAATATAGATTAAATTTAAATATTAAAATTAAAATTTTATAATTTCAAATTTTATAGTATAATTTAATATTTATTAGAATTAGAATAAATTTTATTTTAGTCTAAATTAACATTAAATCATTATATATTTATTATAATATTTAGTTTTTTGTCAATTTTTTGCAATTCTGGGATACTTGTATTTTGATTGATAATTCAAATTTATGTAACATCTTTTTTCCTAACACGATTTATTTTTGATTGATTTGAGCTATTTGAAACACTTTATTTTATATCATATTTTAAGTTATATTTGATAATACAATTTTTATGTTGAAAAAAAATGACTATTTTTGTAATTAACAATGACATATCTTATAATTTTCGAATAAATTATTGTTTTTCTTCCTCTGTATTGAGCACTCTTTTAAGAATAGTATTTTGTTATTGGAATTTATTTTATGCATAATGAATATACTTACATATATATATATATATATATATATATATATATATATATATTCCATATATATAATATATATATATATATATATACACATATGTATATATATATATATATATATATTTATATATATATATATATATATATATATATATATATATATATATATGAAAATATTATAAAATATATATATATATATACATATATTGTATATATATATACATATAATTATATATATACATATATATATATATATATATATATATATATATATATATATATATATATATACATATATATATATATATTTATATATATATACATATATATATATAAATATATATATATATATATATATATATATATATATACAATAAATATGCAATCAATTTACAAATACATGAATTATTCACACAAAACTAATGCAAAGGTTAATGATTTAAATGGCGAGACATCCATCATCGCAAACAATTCAAATAGTATACAAAAACCTCCAGATCCGTCATGAATGAATTGATCCTTGTTTATATAAATTTCTGCCGTATTAGTTGTTATTTTTACTACAAGCTTTCGTCTGTTCCTAAGAAGAGACATCTTCAGGTATAGAATAGATGTTTTCTTTTTTTTTCTCTTAGTAATAAGAGGACAACGAAAATATATGTGTTGTTGTATCCGAAAATGCTATTGAAAATGAGTTATTGGTTTTGAA